CTTCACTCTTGTCAATGCCTATCTAGTTTTTTTGTTTTTGGCAATATCCATTCTAGTTAAATATTATATCACCTCTTGAGTGACTTTCTAGTTTTCTTCAGTGATACAAGAGTGTATTGAGAATTTTTTTTCTTCAAGATTCATGTCCTTGACATTATATTGCTTTCTATGAAAGATAAAATATTATCAAGAATATTTTTCAAAATTTGAAGAACTTTATGCAATTCATAACTAGATGCTAAAATAATGTTGTAGTATAAGAGATGAGTCAAATGTTGATTGGCACTAGTTAAATATTAGATGTGAGCTACTACACTAGATTATAAGCCTTTATAAATCCTTCTTGAATAAATTGATACTCAACAAACAATAGAAAAATCAAGAAGAAATCTCTGATTGCAAAGAAAAGTTTTTTGTGATGCAAGGTTTTAATTTGGAAAGACTTGACAAGTTTTGTACTTATGAAGAGATGAATGACTTAAAGTTTTTAGATCAGAAGGAAGAATTTTGGGTTATGATGAACTTTGATGATGAAGCAAAGGTAGAAAAGATGAATTGCATGGTATCCTTGTAAAGATGCTTGTGTAGAAATCACTTAAAATTTTCAATCTTATTTTTTATTTTCTTATATTTTAACATTATATAAAGTCAAATTTAGGACTTGATATTTTTGAAGAATGTTGCCAATTAGGATTTAACTTAAGAAAAGTAATTAAAATTGAAAACTAAATGTTTGGTTCAAAAGATAGCAAAGTATTGAAAGAAAGTGACTATTGCATAGCTAGTTTAATCTAAGACATGGCTTGGAAAATTGCATGTTGGTGGCCATGGATTCTATCCAAAGCTGCCATTTATTGGAGGTCATTACAAGACAAAAATCATTCTATTAGGGATTTATTTCAATGCCAATATTCAATTTGTTATAGGCTTGACTGCCTCACAAAAAAGTGCTACACCAAAATCTGCATGGCACATGATTTGGGCCTTGGATTCACCTTAAATGATAATAAGATTATACCTTAATAAGTTTAAGGATAGATTTGTATTTATCACAAAAGTGAGGGATATATTTTCTATTATCAAGTATACGTGGATATTCTTGATATTTCAACATATTTCAAGGATATATATAATATTTTTTCTTAAATTCAATTACATAAAGTCTATGATTTTTTTTTAATGAAATCCCAGAGTAAAAATGATCATATATTTACTTGGATATTTTTGTTTCTTGCTAAATAAGACTAATAGCTTTAAATAATAGGTATATTATATATATATATAATTCAATTATAATATTTTTATTTTTTATTATTTTTTTATACACATCTTGTTCATTTCTAAATTAAAAAATATTAACCTTAACAAAAGCTTTCATCTTTGTTGTACATTGCATGTGTTAAAAATATATATTACTCAATGCTTCATTAACATAATCTGATGTATTCAACTTAAGAGTTTTGGTGGTAAATTGTCTATATTTGCTTCCTATCATTTATCAACTAATGGTTAAATCAAATACACAAAAATATCTTAAAAACACAAAATTTAAGCACTTACAAATGCATATTATATGAATCAGAGAATTTTTCTATTCACGATAAAACTTGCTTATTACAAATTTTAAAAATTATAATTTTCTTATGATAATCAGTATCCTTTGCTTTGATGCTTACACCCTAAAAATCAATTGGTTTTAATCAATGATCATCATGAATACAAGGTTGATAAAAACAATTCTCAAATTCATTTGAATGTTGAAAGCATAAACAATAGATTTAATACAAGACTTTGTAAGAAATTTAACATCTTCATGATATTATTAGTGAACCTTTTGAGGGTCCAATGTGTTAGTCATTGCTAAGGAATTGGAAAAATAACAAGGTTTTAAACTCTTTATAAAAAAAAAATTAGTAGTAAATGGTTAAAATTAAAACCATTGATAGAGTATATGCTATAATAGAAACAAAATTTTGTTTTGTAAAAAAACCAACTATAAAAATTTAGTACTGAACTCATCTTCACTTTTCAAATTTTATTCTTCAGAATAGTTTTTTAGTCTTCTTTTTTCATTCACATTCTTTTTATCTTCAACTAGTAGCATGCAGTAAAAAGTTCTTTTTAAATTATAAATCTAATGATTTAATAAAACACAATTAATGAATTTTTTTCGAAATTTAAAAATACATATTTATATATTTTATAATAATATGTACTTAAAAATACTTATTTTTATATTATTATTACATATCTTGGTGAAGGTATTTAAAAAATTAATTACAATTAATTATTGTAATTCTAAAACATATAATAAAACTCGAGAAATGTTAAATAGATTGAGGTTTTAACTAAATCGACCCACCTATCCAGACCATCATGGCACCTCTCCGTTTTCAACCCCATTCCCTCTAGTTCCTAGACCATGTTCTCAGCGCCTTGTCTTCCGGCCATCTTTTTGCAATCTAGGTAGGGTGTAGAACTCAATGTGGATGTTGTAGTTGCTTTGTTGTTCCTCGATGGAGAGTTTCTAGTAATTGTCATAAAAGGCAGCAATATGTTGGGAAACAAGTTGTTGTCACTGACTTTTGCATTGGCTTATGCACTAGCAACAAACCGCATTGTGTTGTTGGAGAGCATAAATTACTTCAAGGACTATTGCCGCCAACATCCACGATCAAGTTCATTGACAAGGAAGAAGAAAAAAACAAGAAAAAAGGTATCCAAAACAGTACCACCTCATGTCACTAGAACAAAGGGAAGATGGAAGCTTTTATTTTTTCTTCAACTTGAATGCTAGCTTCTTGTTTGTACTTTTGTTTATTTGATTAGGCCCTTGTAATTAATAATCACATCTTGCATTATTGATGACCACCAAATTCTAGCTCTCTATGCTTGTAAAATACTAGAAACTCTCTACCAAAGAATAGCGAAGAAACTATACAACACCCACATTGAATTTTATACCATGCCAAAATAGTAGAAAGACGACTGGGAATAGGAAGTTGGAACGAGAGTTGAGAACAGAGTCTGGGAATTGGGGGAACAGGATTGAGAATGGAGAGGTGCCATAATGGTCCATATATATGTAGGTTGATTTAGTTATAACCTTGGTCTATTTAACATTATTCAAAAACTTATTCTAATTTACTTCTAATCCTTAAATGACAAGTTTTTGTAAAAATGTGATCATAGTTTTACAATTATAAATTATAGAGTTGTAATATATAATTGCAAGAAATTTGAAAATCTCAATAATAAGAATCATTGTTTGTGAATCATAAAATAAACTAAAAGATGCTTATATGATTGTTAAAATTTGCTTATACTTTTGTTAAACAATTAAAATTTTCTATTAACTTCAATCAACTTAACATCAGAAATTTAATAACAATAATCATAATCATAATGATTCACGTGTCAAACATATGCAGATTATACTTCACTTATCTTATCTTTTGTTTAAGACCATGAATCATTATCTTATTTTGAATGAATCCCTATGTCTAATAAAATATTTTCCTTAAACTAAGTCTGTGGAATGGAATTAATGCAAAAAAATTGAAGCTGAATAGCGATGTCGACTTCCCATTGACACAGCATCGACGAAGCTGTGCGTCTCTTGCGCACACTAAAACTGCAAGTTTTAATCCCCATCCAGCTAACCCACCTGGAAATTGCCGCGGTAACCGCAGAACATCTTCAACGACTACTCATTACTGTCTTGTTTCATTTTATTGCAGACCCAGTTTAAGTAAAACAATATTTTGTTATCTATTTTGTGGTTTGAATGACAATTGTGATTGGGATTTCACTGTGAACGACTTCAAAGCAGGTCTTCGTTAAGCCGGAATCTTTCTCAGGTTCGTGCATGCTTCTGGCATAAAGATTTGCATATTCAAATTGTAACTTCGAGGTTCGTTAAGTTGTCGATGAACAAGGATGACTACTGATTTGTTTGTGGGGTTGGGTTGCTTCAAGCATAGTCCAGCTTGAGCTTCAAAAACAAGGATACTGTGGATTTTCACTCCATTTTAACCTTCTCAGACGCCACCTTTGCAGTTTTCATTCAATGACGGAAACGGTCTCATCGCACACAGTTGATTGTAACTCTCCTGTTCTATAGAAGGCTGTGAAGACACACCCAGAGACGTGGGCTATTTCAAAATTGCACCATGTATAGCAGATGACTTACACTCTGGAACAGTTGGAAAAAAAAAAAAAAAAAAAAAAAAAAACTCAAACATATGTGCTAATCAAACATCACATCGAGCTTCAGGACGGTCAATATAGATCTGAAAAACGACCTGATTAGTTTATCAAATTGCAAGAATGTCATACCGAGAATAACTTTGTCTGGAATATCGCTTGACCAGAGTTTCAGGTGTATCGTGGTAGGGTTTACGGTTTCTGAACTTTACACCGTAATCCATTCCTCGTCCCCATCGATACCGATTGTGATGTATTTCACGCTTCATTGAGCTGGAATTTGCTCGCGACGGACGTGGATGCTGTGGATTTTCACTAGTTAGCGCTCACCTCCGGCTCGAGCCGGAGGTATCATGATCTCTTCAACCTCTTTGAGTGAATGTTGAAGTTGGTATTGGAGTATGCCAACATGTCGATTGCGTGGGGTCGCAAAAGAAAGTGAATAAAATCTGCAATTATGCACTCGCATCGTTGCAGCGATACGGCTTCTAAACATTCTTTGGGCTTCCATTTGCAGGGACTAATCGACCACCTGGTGTCATAGCTACTCCAGAGTCTATAATGACACATCGTGTTCGACTTCAATTGAGGATGAGAAGCACTGCCTCCACCCTCTGATCACGGAGCAGATCTGGTTATTGAGCCAGCTGAGAGACACTTGCACTCAACAGATCCCAAATCAGTGCGAGGGAGTACGCTATAAGGATTTCATGTGCGCCACGATCTCAATCATAGAAATTCAAATCTACGGCATTGTCGTCATTACAGATTGAGGATTAGCTCAAGTCCAGTGATTGCAAGCGAAGGTAAACATTCGGTTTATTTCAAAAGCAAGTAATAACTGGGAAGGTTACCTGCACAAACGAATCCTCCATAATTGTGAAGAATATGAGTGTTTGTTTTGTTTTGTTTTGTGCAAACCAACAAAACTTACGAGAGTATACCAATCAGTGAAGATTTCAGTACTGTGATTGTCAGCATGTCTCTCTTGATTGCCCCTCGTTTGAACTGCCGCCAACATATTTACAAATAAAGCAGTATCTGACTGTTTAATCACTAATTTGGGGCAACAATAAGGTATCTATGATGAAAGCTCATTCGGAGCAACACAAAGTGGGCCTTCTACATATTCGCTGAGGCGTACCACACCAGAAAAATAAAATAAAATAAAATAAAATAAATTGCTTCAATCCTGTTTGCATTCTAAGGTAGACTAGCAAGCTTAAGAAATATTATCGTTACAAGTCCAATCATATAAGGCCAGAAAAAACCCGGTGAGGGTGAGCCTTCGAAGTCTGGTCACCTTGCAGCGTAGATTGAGAAGGGCAGGAAAGATGGCATCAATCTTCAAAGCTTGACAAAGATGCATGTGGTGTCGGAGGATATGGTGAATCTTCAGAAGGGTAATTACACCAACCTCCAATGCGATACGTCCGTCACACACACACACATGCGCAGCTCCTGATTTGGAAAAGAATTAGTTCCTCACTTTCTGCTGCAACCCCACGTCCCTCTTGGAACAGATTGCAGGGCAATCTAGACGCGAAACGTCATTAAAAGCATGTTCCTGATCTGATCTTCCGTTAAATGGCGTGAAGAAGGAGAAGATGGGACACCAGTACCACAATACCGAGTTGAAAGCTGATAGTTAGTTTCCAGCTCCCATTGGGAGAGGTTGCCGGTGCAGGAGCTGTTGGAACAGGAGCCGACACTTGCAGATCGGGGCACTGGTTCAACCCCAGCAGCATCTTGATGGTCACCAACTGAGGGGTGTAACAAAGCCCCGGATTGCCATTCAGCAACATATTCCGTCCCATTTTCTGTATGAAGCTTGATGGAAATGGTACTGCACCACTGAGCTGATTACCGTCCAAGTTGAGGGTGAATAACACGGGCAACGAGGCCAAAGAGGCCGGAATCGGCCCAGAGAGGTGGTTGTTGCTCACGGAGAGATATCTAAGATTCTGTAACCCTTTCAAAGAATCAGGAATCAAGCCCACGAAACCACAAGATGATAGATCGAGCCTCTTCAGGGGTATCAAGGAGCCCAACGACTCTGGAATCTCGCCATCCAGAGAGTTGGAATTCAGAAACAAGTCTTGAAGGTTTGCTAGGTTCCCCAGCGATGGCGGCAAATTGCCCATGAGGTGGTTGTAACTCAAATCCAAGAAGGTGAGATATTTGAGACCCGTGAAAGTGTCCGGCAAACTTCCAGAGAGCTTGTTGTAGCTAGCGGCCAACCGCTGAAGATGCCCAAAGCCCTGGCCAAGCCCTGCAGGAAACTCCCCGTCAAGCTGGTTGTAGCGAAGGTCCAAGTTTACGAGGCTGTCCATAGTGCTCAACGTTGCAGGTATTGAGCCGGACAAGTTATTGTGGCTCAAGTCCAGTTGGATCAAGTTCTGCAAGTTGCTCAACTCCGCTGGAATCTCTCCCTGCAATCCGTTCTGCGAGAGGACCAAGCGCTGCAGCCCTGTGAGTTTTCCGATGCCTGCAGGTATTGTACCTGTCAGTGAAGGATTTCTTCGTAGGGAGAGCAACCTGAGAGTGGGTCCGAGGAGGGTGATCTCCTCAGGGATTGTAGCGGTAGAATTCACGAAGCAGCTGTAGAAGGCAAGCGTATCGAGACGGGTGAGCTTGGCGATGGATGATGGGATGGAGGCGTTGAAGCTGCAGGGAATGATGTTGTCAATCGGCGAAATGTAGCCGAACTGCAACTGAGTGACGAAGAGGACTCCTGTCACTGGGTCAGGCTCGCAAAGAATGCCCTGAGGGCCCGAAACACAGGGGTCAGGAAAGTAGGTGTTCCAGTCCTCTTCGAAGTTCAAGGAGTACATCATCTCGTGCAGGACTTGCAGATCCACTGGGTTAGTTGTCGGAGAACTGCCGTCCGTCTGGGAGAAGCTCGTACCCCAACTACTGGTCAAGGAGACAAAAATGATGGCAAAGCTCAACAAAGAACGTCGCAGATCTTGCAGACGGTAATGCCTCCTCAATGCCATGTCTCGAAACGGCGACACAGGGCTTTTCTAAAGAAGAATGGGAGTTTATAACTTTAAAAAAACCTGGGGCGAAGACGAGTCTGCTAGAGTTCAGCGTGCTGAGGAAAAGTTGAGAAAAAATGGGCAACACATGTCCATGATATGGATTTGAATGGGACGTTACTTTGAACTGTACACTTCCTCCACACAGTTTCCATTTCCATCGCAATGTAGACCTCTATCTCTCTCCCTACAGGTTTGTAATTAGCTAGTACAGTAAGAACAGCAGAACCGAAACGATTCTGCTAACAGCGGATGATGAAAATCAGAGAACATACACCAGTGAGGTTACATGAGATTCAGTAAGAAACTGCAGCAACTAGACCCACAACCTTAGCATGAATCAAAAGTCAGCTCCCTCGAACTCAGTATGCCACATTCAGGAGTCACTGGACTTCAATCTCCCAGTCGACGTGCTCTCCAACTCGTTTAACTCGAGCATGGGTCTAAATAACAGCAAGACGCACAAAATCAGCATACCCTTCGTACTCTCTCTCGCTCTTGTTGCTGTCCAGCCTCGACACCTGAAACCGAATTTTGCTGTTATCTTCCCAGCTACGCCGGTCCACGAAGTCGGGCAAAAGAGAGACGAATAGCCGGCCGCTCCAGCTACGCACACAGCGAAACAGGCTGGTGTGTATAAAAGTCGCTTGGCACTCGAACAGACAGCTATCTATCTCCCAGCAAACAGACAGTTGCAGAGCGTGAGCAATCTGTTTGATTGATGAGTGCAGAGAGCGATGGCAGAGTTCCGACTCACTGTTGCAGCTTCTGCACAGCGCCCTTACAAGTTACACGCACGCATGGCCATTGCTCCTCTTATACAGAACATGGATTGCCATAAAAGCGGGGGAAAATCATTTAACAAATCCAACTGTAGGGGGGGAGGAAGGAAAATAAATAAATAAATAAAAAGAAAAAGAAAAAGAAAAACTTTATCACTAAAGCCCACTCTAGCCACTCCATGGCTGCTGCTGCTGCCGAGGGTGTGGTCTAGCTAGCTACTATGCCAACCTGGGCTCAGTTTAGTCCTCCATCTGCAAATCTATGACCCCCTTGCTTAGTGGTAGAGAAGCAAAACAGTCTCAACGTCTTCCTTTGCACCACACACACACACACACACATCAACACATAATCCACCCAATAACCTAAAAGACTAAAGAAGACAAAAATGTAATAGAACAGCATATAAAAATATAAACTTTAGAGAAAAGAAAACATGCTCTTGTGAGCTTCGTAATAATAATAATTATACAGGAATGCTGCTGCACATTATCATACACTGCCTTGTATGAGTATATTTTCCATGGGATCCATTCCCAGTGCCCACCTCTGCAGTGTAGCGAGAGTTCATTCTAGTTAGTTTTGAAAGCTCCTTTTAGCTTCATCTTCTTCCAATGGGTTGATTTTCTTCTTCTTATTATTGTTGTTGTTGTTATTATTTATTGGGTTTGTGTACATGGGGCTATGACTGATTTGTTGTACCAGTTTGGTTTGCAAGCAAGGTGTGTCAATTGTTGTCATGGTTACACTAGACTGAAGCTAATGCTTTGTTTCCCTTTGAGGGGGTGATGGATGTAATTGGGTGGGGAGGGGGTACAATGCTGACTTTGGCATGCTTTTGGTGTCTTTGGGGGTACTTTTCCCCAATTGAGCACTGCCTGTGTGAACAAATGGTACTCAATCTTTTTGTACTCAAGCTTCAATCTCCAATATATATATATATATATATATATATATGCAAGCTGCTGCTTTCTCTTGATGCATTCAAAACTGTGTGATAGTTTGCATTTCTCTATCCTAGTTCTATTCTTTACAGTTAAGTATACTTTTATATTAACAGGATTTAGAAAAGAAAAAAAAAGGGGGGGGGGGAGGCAAACACAGAAGAACATGTGTTCATGTGTTGATCTTTCTTTCCATGCCATTACTGCATAAACTCATAGGTACCATTAGTATAACACACTCTGTGCAAATTAAGTGCATGATAACAATTCATGTTCCATTTACTCATTTCATGATTATTGCTTTTTTGCATTGGGAAATATATAACTCATCATTTGTGTACTAACATATTTCCAACCTAACAAGTTGTGGATATAAATAGGTGCGGCAACATATCATAATGCTAAAACATCTTGACGTTTGTATTTATGAGCGCATGCCATGGAATATGTAACTGAATTCTTGTTTTACTAAACTATGCAACATCTAAGAGCATGTCAGTTGTGTGTTCTGTTAGTGTAATTGTTTTTCATTTTTTAAAAAATAAAAAATAAAAGAACATTTATTGTATCATTGTCATGTCTTAATTTGTTTTTACTTCTAATTGTTTTCTTCTCCTGTTGATGAAGCATGTTCTTGATTAAATCATTTGTAATCCTACTTTTGAAAAACCAGATATACATGTCATTGTATATTAGTATTTCATTGGTTACCATCAACACTACCATTTGAATTTTAATGAATTAAACAACTATAATTGTATATTTTGTGTAAATGTTTTTGTAGTGATAACTACTCCATGTGCACCTGAAACATGTATGCACTTCTTTGTGATGAAAATATGTCTGATTCTAATTTTCCAAATTTATTTGTACATACCCAATACTTCTATTCCACATTTGCCTTTAAAACATTGAAAGTAGCAATAATCAAGCACTCAAATGGTATATTTTAAAAGGCTCATTTGTCAGCCATTTGTAATAATCTTCACACCCATTCAAAAATCTTGATATTATGATACATGGTTTGAACATCTACTCACCACAATACCAAGTATTCTTGCAAACAATCCTTCCACAACTTCTATTAACCTAATACATCCTACTAATACATTGACAAATAATGCAGCAATCAACTTACACAACAACTTCACCATCAATTGCCAATTTATTTGGTATGGGGACTGACCACAAGGCAAAACCTCATCCAGTGCAACTTGTAACAATTTACAAGTGACAGCAAAAAAGAAAACTTGTAAAGGGCTGCAAAATTTGTATTGGTGTAATGGTCATGGATCCACAATCATGGATCATGGTATGAGAGTGGATTCATTTCTCATACACCAGCTCTCCCAAGTTTTAACATCATGGACACAAGACAGAGAATGTTCATGATCATGGATCTCAAGAAAGAAGGAAAGAATGAACAAAAGAAACCCACACCCACCACCACCATCACAACCACAAACAAAGCAAATGAGTATGGGCAAATATAAATGTTATATTATAAAATCACAAACCCTAAAAAGTTAGGGTTTGTGGGTGGGTGGGTGGGGAAGCTCATTGCCTGTTCTTCAATGTCCCTTGTGCTCAGTCCCCCCCTCTCCCCCTAGAAGTAGAGAAGCAGACAGACACCCATCATGGCCCTCCACAATAGAAGCCAAGCTATGCAAATAGCTAAGCCAAGTGAAGAATTGGGCAGGCAGGCAGGCCACACTGGCTGACTACACTACTACTTCACCCAGTAGTGGGTGGTGGTGGTGGAGGGTGAAGGGAGTGTAAGTTGATGCCCGCTGAGATGAGATGAGATGAGATGGGACACCCCCCCCCCATTGATGAAGAAGGGCTAAGAAATGGCACCACACAAAGCTGCCAGGAGAGGGGGGGGGTAAGGGCAGAGAGGGCAGAGAGAGGGGGAAGGGACAAAAACACAGAGCAAATTTTACTTGTTTGGCCTGCTTCCCTTATCCTTTCTCATCTGCCAATTACTCCAACCAAGGCGCTCCACAAGTAAACTTAAGAAACCAATACAGCAATGATCTTGTGAATGATTATGTGAATGAATGAATGAATGAATGAATGAATGAATGCATGAGGAGGGATTGGAGGGGGGCTGTTTTCACTTTTTCATTTTTTTCCCCTCTGTTTTCCCTGTTTGACCTATTTATATTTCTAATGTATTTGTAATATTTTTGTGTTTTACCATGTTTCCAGAGCGTGTATTGGCTTTTATATGCAGAGTGGATGATGGGTTAGCAATGGATTGCAGGCACCAACCAAACTCAAATTCACTGCACTCCCACCACCATCACTCAATCTAGAATGGCCTTACTAGGCCCCCATTTGCCTGCCATGCTGCTGCCAGCCTATAAACTTAGATTTTCTTCATTATCCTTCAACATTTACCCCCCCCCCCATGTATTTTCTTACCATATATATATATATATTCAAATTACTATGCATTTAAATCCATGAAATTTTGAAATTTCTACCCAGCTGCATGAGAGTTATACTCATATGTTTTAATATATTTTTATTTACTCACTTTATTGTTTAATTATCTTCTTAGTATGTGATAATTATTATTTCTCTTGATTATGAAATTTGATGTTTTTATTCAAACAAATTTGTCATCTGTATAACCAATGTGTGATAAATTAATTAATTTGCAATTCGATGCAATCAATTATATTTTAGCAATGTTGTAATTGGGTGTTTTTTTTCTTTCTCTCTTAATCATATCTTATAGTGGAATTATTCTAGTAGACACCCTTTGCAATTAAACCAATGTAACATTGTAATTTCTTAAAGCTTATTTTTATTCTATATGGAAATAGAATAATAAAATATCTTTAACATTTGATCTTGCTGCTCATTGAATATCACTCGAATGAAAAGGATGTCTTGGCATCTGTTAGCTATTAAATTTAGCAGGTCACGCTGCTGTAAATGATTTTTACGATTTTATTGCATTTCAATGAGTATGAACAATAATGGATTGAAGATATTAATGTAAGTCATACCAAAAGTTTCATGATTCTTCAATTGGGAGTTTGAGGAAGGCCAATCATTTGTATATTCTGATGCTTTGTTTTATAATAAGATTACAAATTATTTAGTTATTAGTTATAAAATTTCCTTCACGAGATAAATATTCACGCGGTATCATGATTAAATAAAAAAATAAATGAAAAAATGAAAAAAAGTAATCATTCTTGCAATAAAGTCCAAAACTGCACCAACTATCCTGATCCTTTTCAATTTATATTGTGTAGCAATGTCATGTGCTACCACGTTTCATTTTTTACTTACTATTTAGTCTTTATCATACCCCCAACTTTGCATACATTAAAAATCATGAAATTATACAAAAATGCGCTTCAAGTAAAACTTTAAGACCTACTTTATTCATAAAGCATCTCATAAATATGTGCTATACAAATAAATGAATGGAATTTGCAAGAAACCCGTTGCTTTTTGTCTCACTTTCTCAAAAAAAAGAATGCATATATATATATATATATATATATGTGTGTGTGTGTGTGTTTGTAGATTTACATATAAATCAATACATCTCCCAGAAATGTTAATTGCTGCAAAATAACATGCCAATTCAGCCCCCCCCCCCAAGGGAGAGGAAGGGACTGGTAGGAGGGTTCATCCAGTGGAGAGAGAGGTTATAGATAATCCTCATCCTCTGTTCATCCGTTCTTCCATTCATCCATCCAGGCATGAGATCATAAAGAGGGGAAGCATTCATGGGGACCTCGCTTGTAGCTTTAAGCGACAGCTTTTTGGGAACTGGGGGGAGCGCAGCCTGCTTGTATAGAGCTGGCTGGGCCCAGAGAGAGCGAGAGAGAGAGAGCCAGTTGTAATAAAGGAAGGCAAAAGAGGATTAGGTGCCAGTCCACTCAATTGTGATATCCCATTCCCCCCCTCAAAAGTGCCGCTCTGTCTCTTCCCTTTGATCCCACTCCCCGACTGCAACACCCACCCTCACCATCCCGACCTCAACCTCGTCTCCCCCAGGTATCACCACACTCCTCAGTATCAACTCCTTCGTGCCCTGGGGTCAGTGGCCCCAACACATCATCATTTGTTACTCGGCTTGGATGGTGGTGACAATGAGTGCTCTCCATCTGGTCATGAAGACTGGTGGTGTTCATGATGGATGAAGATAGGATGGATGAAACTCAAAGTGGAAGAGGGGAGCACTCCAAGGTTGTCCAGGCTCATATCCACACAACGAACGATCCATGGTGCCCCAATATGAATAAGTAATTTTAGAAATGTGAAGATAAATTACAGACGTAGCTTTTCATTTATTTCAATATATATATATATATATATATATATACACTTTATTGGAAAAATGCTATGCGTATCCCAGTTTCACCCAAAATGATCCCATGAAAACATTAAATGTGGTTGTTCCAAGTACATTCAAAGTAACTTTTTATGATGTCTTGGTTTGTATTTGGGTACGAGTATATACATATATACGTATTCATATATATATATGTACATCGGTGACGAATTTTTAGATTTTGAATCACTTTTTTTGAGTAGCTGATGATAAAAATAATTAAAAGTACGGAGATACTCCATTTTTTACTGCACATATTTAAAACAATTCTCACACTTCTGTACTTTTCTTACAACTTCTAAAAATTAAAAATGTCAGTAGAATAGAAATTTGATTTTTCTGATTAATAATTATCGAGAAAACATTGCATTGAATGCGAAATTTATATCAGATTAATATACACATTTCTAAAATAATTTGTCAATATTATGATACTCCTTAAAGAAATCTTATAGCAAGAACTTTCAACATTTGAATATTTGTTTGTGTAAAAATACGTAGATTTATAATTCGAAGAACTGATAATGTGGTATATTCTTATTAGTATGCGTATTTTACATTTATATATAACTTAAAATTAATACAGTAATTTCACAGTAAGACTAATAGAAAACTTTTCACCTATTCCTAAAATTATTTTATTTTAAATAATAAATTAAATGATAAATATATAAAGTTCAAGTATTTTTACTATTTTTGGAGACTTTTGAATTTCTAAATTAATTCTTCCATAATCACATGGATATTGGATAAGAGTTCGCATGTTCAAAGGTTAGAATATATTCTTGGTCAGTATTCAAAATCAGTGATTTGTAATCTATTTTGTTTTAAATAAATATTTGTTATATACACACATAAATTAATAACTTAATATGTTAAACGAGATTAAATTATTTCAAATCGACCAAAACATTGATGCAGAAATTAAATTAATGGTGGTAGATGTTTATTAAGGAAACATTTGTAACAATATTGAAAAAATTTCAGTCACAAAGACATTGAGATAAAATTTATATATCTTGAAATTTGTGGTCGTCAATGGTCTTTTAAAAACTTAGCTCTATTTATTATAAAAAAAAAAGAAACTTTTGCAATTTTATAAATGTTGTAGAAACTAAAGCTAATAAATTATAAAAAATAAAAAACTCAAATAATGATTCTCGAAATTACAATCGCTGAAAATAGCAGGTATATTGGATCTACATACTGGATTTATAAATTAATGTTCATAAACTAACATACGATCCCTTTTGAAAAATTAAACATCCATCAATTTCAGACCTCACATTTAACTCCCTACATTACAAAAAATAAAAAATAAAATAGTTCTCGGGAGATTGGATATTATTCCTCGAGGCAGATTCTGACGCCTGGACGTCGGAGTTCCACGCCAGAATGTCACACTCCCTGAGAATTTGCAGGCTTCAGGATCATTCTTTCCGTTGCCTGCACGACAATTCTGCTTCGGAACCAGTCCTCCTTTTCAAAACCAGGTTTCCCGCCCATTTGCATGTGTCACGTCTTCACCCCGCAAGAAACCCCAAGCTCTTCGACGCAGGTTTAGGGTTTCTCGACGAGTCTCATGAAGAAATCCCCTCGTTATTTATTTTTTTATTGTCGTTGCATGCGCTGCATGGGCGCTGCTGCATTAGAATCGGCGGCAGGATTTTCACGGCGTCTGTTGGAATGGTGACACTATGCTACGGCGATCTGAAAGGGGGTTGAGGTTTGGACGGAAATTGCACATCATTCATTGTCTGCAGCTCATCCTTGTTTGCCTTGGATCTCCGCGAGGAAGGCATTTTTTTTTCTTCTTGAGAACAGATTAGGTATGACTCAATCGCGATAATCGGTTGGATTACTTCAGGGATGCTTGGTTATCTTTTTTTGAATGTGGTGCGATGGCTTGCACGCCGTACTTATGTAGTAGGTTTAAAATCTTTTGTGCGCAGGAGCTTTGAGATCCAACTGGAAAGGAAAGGAGGCCATGGTTTTGGTAGGGTTTGTGGAGTGAAGTTTGGACTGGAGTGGTGAAGGACGGGGAAGGGGAGAGCGAGGTATCGCGAAGAAGGGAGGCTTGGTGTGCTGCTGAAGCTATCTGCTATCATATGCAGACCTATCATTTGTGTTGTGCTTTGTTTAATTTCATTTTTCATTAGAGACAGCATATTGTGTTTCGATGGTGTAAAGTACGACTCAACCTATTCGGAATCGTCCAGCTTCTTCATATCGTATATTTTCTTTGCAAAGAATTCCATGGATTCTGAGACTGCGTAGGAAAGAGCCTATCAGCATCATCAAAATGACAGTTTTTCCTTCATTATTAATCCACGGGTTGTTTCCTGAGCTTGTACATCCTATAGTGTGTAGTTGTCATCTGGGCTTCTGAATCTATACTTAGCTCAATAAATGTGAAGAGGCTGGATTTCATAATTCAAATTATTCTTTGTCGTTTCGAAGCTGAGTGTGCTTTTCTCTAAAGAACCGATAATTGCGTTGTTTGTCGCAGTTGAAACGCTCATCACAGTGATAATGAAAGCATCACCTTGATTTGCTAAACCACTGACTGTCGGGAGGATGGCAAGTAGGTAGTTAAGTACTCCTACCAGTGAAAGAGTGGTCTTCAATGTATCAAATAGCCTACATGTTGACTTTATTGAGTTCCTTAAGATGCCTGAAGATGTCAGTGATGAAGATCAGTTTTTTGAATTGTTCGACATTCAACATCTCATCACACGCTCGCAACATGTTGACCCCTTGTCCCCTCTTTAATAACTGGAGGTCTGCGTGAAGGGAGCCCAGAGCCTTGACTTCATTTTATGGTTGTTTGATCGCGGGGGAATTGATGGAGAGGCAGTGTATGATGATGATACTTCGAATGAAGAGCTAATTGCATTTTGATGAAATTAATGCTGATACAGTTAATGGTTTATTTGCACACTTCATCGGCTCGCATGACGGCTACATGACTATCCCGCTCATCTCGTCTGTGAGACTGGAAGTGTCCTCTCATGTTTCCTCTCCATGTAGGCTTTCTTCCATGACCTGCCCCCTCACGCTTTTCAGGGCAGGATCATACATGGTAGGGGATTCAGGTGGTGTTGTGGACGAAGAAGATCGAGCTATCGTGAGTGTGGATTATGGGGACTCAACTTAATGTGGAACATACGCGATGATTTATGGCGGCTCCGCATTAGACTGGGGTATGTCACGGGAGGACCCCTTCTAACCCAAATTCGGACAGTCTCTTAATCATCAGTTTCAATGTGCTCCATGCCAGATTTATCGCTGTATCATCCACTGAATTAGTAGTAACTCGATTCCCTGTCTGAATTCATTGGCAGTGAGCTAAATCAGAACAAACGGATGCCAATAACAATTAGTCTAATTTGTTGCCCAATCTGTAAGGTCTTGTTGAATTCGTAGAATCTAGTCAATTCTTGAGCTGATTCCTACGACGGAATGCGAGATTTTCTCTAAGTTCCCGCAGGGTTTTGTTACCGTTGTCAGAAAGAATGGTGCGATATAAATAGGAAAACAACATCATCTGAAATGTACCCTTTTCTTATATTGAAAGTGTAACCAAACCTTCGTCCAAGCAGCACCGAGCAAATGAAATGGTTTGATCACCGAACCCTGACCTTGTTTGGAACGCTCAGCACTAGGAAAATATTCGCCTTAATTTTGGCACATTCCGGGTAAAAAGCACGCAGTAATGAGTAAGATGAGCGGAAGGGTAAAGAATCATTTTGAAAATTAGGAGTCTGCAAAGTCAGAGTAGTTCTTTCCGGGGATCTTAATCTGGTGGAAGAGTGAGTGATCTGATATGCTCAGTTTTTTATTTTTATTTTTATTTTATTTTTTATGAACATTTTATAGATGTTTTCTTTGCTATGAGGGTTCTGAATCGTCTTTTATGATAATTATCTGAAATTAAAAACAAACGGTTGTGGGTAAGGAGCCCAAGACACAAAGATTGAGATTCATGGGTGTGATGGGCAAAGCCATCATATAGTTCTGCAAACTGAGCTCTCGATATTGACGATGGCTTTCTTGCATCTTTTGAGCAACAGATGGTTGAGTTAGTTGTCAGTTGCTGATGGTTATTTTCACATTGATTCTAGTGATCATCTTGTTCAAATACTACCAAGGCTCAACGGCAATGAGGAACTCCAGTGGAATTTTGAATGATGTCACTGCAATGATAAACGCGTTTGAGTAAAAGTATTGTTGAAGGCGCAGATTGTACCTTAACCAGCGCTGCAGTAACAACAACAACTCATGCACGTGCTGCACGAGGTGCTCTGCTTAAGGATTATCTGGGAACCCTTTTAATGCCTGGGCCAGTTTACAAGTCAACTTAGATCGTAATTTCAATTCACTGGTGAGCTTCGCAAGTGTTAGTGAAACTCAGGGAGATGTCTGAGACTGATTGGTTTCTCCCTTTGACACGCATCAGAAGTTTACTACATGATCGTGTTGGCAGTGCCGCTTTGTGCCACATTGTCTACTGTTTCATGATGAGAAATTCTGTTTTTCCTGGCCGAATTTTGGATGGTTTAGCAGGTTTCCTGTTGGGAATGCCGAGTATGTGAAACCATGTCTGTTGCAGTACAACCTTTTGGCTTAGAAAAGATGGTTTTACTTCTCGGCACGATTCCTTGGCTTCGCAAACATGGGTGTTTCGTCAGAGCAGGTGATGAGTGCAAATGGGAGGTGTCTGCAAGAAAATGAGACACATAGTTACACCGGACATTTCTTGCACTACCTCGGATGTTTGCTATTTTCCACATAGCTTGACGGAGTCATGATTCAATTGGTGAACTTTCAGAGCTTTTTCGATCCATTGAAGTGTTATAATGCATATTATGATGTCCCCTTATCAATGAACTTCTACATGCTTGTGTATTTACGAATTCACGGCATCAGTCATTCAAGGTTGTCTTGTTAGGAAACATTTACTTTTGCTTTGTATCAGCATTTTCTTTGTGGAGGCATTTCCACAAGTATTAGCGTGCATAAACAGAGGAGTCAGTGTGTTCTTGTTTGCTATCTCTATGATTAAATTCTGAGATTTAATCGAATGATCGTAATATTCAGTTTTAGGTCGTGTTTCTTATTAACCGACGAATTACCGATCTAATAACCCAATCTTAAGTCTAGTGTAACATTAAGTTTACGTATTTCGGATAAAAGATTTTACAGTTTGGTGACTGCATATTACAGACCTATTCTGCTAGAACAATTTCTGTCGAAAGAGACCAGGACAACGCTGCCGTGAGTTTTGAAAACACACATTACCTGTCTGGAAGTGTTGTGGCAAATATCTTGTCTGACTACAGATCATGCTTAGAGATGAGGTCAATTGCCTTAAGAGCTCAAAGGAGTTTTTGAGGAGATTTTGGCAAGACTATTAGCTGGGGAACTAACCACTTTGCTACCTTCAAAGCAGATTCTTCTGACCTAAACACGGATTTTAGGTTTTAGGGTTTCCAGAAAATGGATGTGCGAATGGAAAAGCTGGACTGAGCAGAATAAACTTCTTCATAGCCGAGGCATCGACAAAATTGACATTTCAGATGATGCAGTGGGACTAATCAAGCCTCCCAAGAGAAATGGTGCAGCACTGGTGGGCCATATTTAAAGTTACTGGCATCAGACGTATGCAATGCGAATGAATTAACTCAGAAGCTCAAAGATAACGTTTCGGCTTGAGGAATTGAGTAACACATGTAATGCTTGCTGATATCATGCAGTTTATTAATTGTAAGTGCAGGGGGAGAGAACAGAAAAACTCAAAATGACAGATTTGGCACAGCACTTTCATCAGTCAATCAATGCTGCTGCCTGGGAACTGGGAATTTGTCATACTATTGACAAAAAAACATGTTGCCGTGATGACGTGCCCCGACGGCCTCTTCGCATGCTTAGATTTCTTGCAACAGTAATTTTTGACCATTCGGCCAATGATTAGGGCCGAGGTGGATTTCAGGGGTTGCCAGCTTTTCTTTCAAAAGCAGAATTCTAATCCCTTTAGCTCTTTCAAAATCACTGCTGGGGAGAACTTGCTGTCAGACATGCAGTAACGGAGGATGAATGTTTGTAGATGTTCATCGAAATTTAGGTAGGTTCAAAATTATTTTGTTTAACTTTGTAACCGTAGGGTGATGAGGGTGATAAGTCCAAGTGAAAAAAAACACTTTTTGATCTACTATGGTGTGGCAAATGGGTCACAGCATTTTGTTGACACTTGGATTCAAACCTTTGATCTATATAATATTTAGGTTCTTACTTATTAAATTTATAATGTATATATATATATATATATATATATACACATATTTTCTTGCACATGTCTTCAAAATTTTGAAATAAAATGTAAAGAAAGGCGCTGTTTTTGCTTGATGTTCTCCAAGTTTGGGAGGCAATGAATAGGGACAAGATCCTCTATCAAAATGTCACCTCATAGATGATAACATGTGGAATGATACTCATCCAAGGAATACCAATTTGTTAGTTTTTCTACCAGAATTAGAATAGATTACTATAAAAAGATTAGATTGTCACAATCTAAAATATTTTATGTACGATAATATTTGACATTGAGAGTATGAGTAATTTATTTTTAATTTATTTCTACTTTTAACTATTTAGAAGCTTTTAATATTTCATGGTAATATATAGATCACAAGAAGTATATTATTATGACTAATATTATAACTAAATTTAGTAAAAAAGTCAACAATAAAATATTTCTTTGTACAATCAATTATATATATATATATATATATATATGGAGAAAATAGAATAACTTTTCTACAAACTTGAATAATATTAATATTATGAAAAATACAAGATCTATACAAAAAAAAATCATGTAGGATTAAAAGCAATTGCAGAACTATACAACTATTTTTTAAGTTGAAGGATCAACTTGAAGATGAATTATCAATTCTAAATATCCTTGGTATTAGAGATTCATATAAAAAATGAATATTAAACATTATTTCAAGTTCTAATTGTTTAAGTTAGATTAAGAGACATGAAATAATTTACTTTAAGTATGAAAGAGGTAAGAAAAAAGGCATTTTTTTTATATTTTAATTTGACCTATATTCTACTTTACATATGTTTAGATTATTTAGATTCTTTAAAAGGTTAAAGTATCATGGACATATATAATTATACAAGTAAGAAGTGTTAGGCAAAAGATAAATGTAGGTAGATTTGATAATATCTTGTGGAAAAGCTTCTTAAAACCTTTGTAAACGTGGATTAGACTTTATATATATTTGTAGTTGATTGATAGATTGGAAACTTATCCAAAAAGTTATCCATGTAGTGCACATATAAGAAACTTATCTTACAAGTTAAACATGTGTTTCATAAGTTGGACATGTATTGGGAGTTTTATAGAATGTCATCATGTAGCTTCTAGTTTGATAGTATATATGGAGAC